TCTTAGCCACTACCTCCTGCCTAGGAGCCCGCGTGTGTGTAAGACTTCCAGCTAAACTACCAACCCCGGTCTCCCCGATTCCCGGACCTTTGACCTTTCTTAGGCTTGGTATGGGGGAGAGAGGGTTGATCTTGATGGGGGGGGGGGAGAGGGGGACATAGTAAACATTCTCTCCTTCAGTATTCTGTCTTGTTTGACATCCCTTCTCTAAATGCTGCGCACATCTTTGCAAACCCTTTCCCTCTGCCTGCTTCTCCAAGCAGTCTTCCTAGGAAACAATACAGCCCTCCAGTCATAGTGTGCCAACCCAGAGTACTTTCTTGTGGCTTAGAAGAAATAAATCGAGTGTGGTTCCCCTTTGTACGTTGTATTTGAAAGAACATAAAAGTGAGCTGGGCCTCTGGGAGGTTTCTGGAAACCTCCTGCCCCTTGGCCCAGTGTTCTCCCTAGTTAAGAGGGAAAACAGAAACCTCACCATTTAAGGAATTCAATTAACAAATCCACCGTTTAGACCATGACCGTTGTGAAAAGCTGTCTCCCTTATTGCAATGGGGAATTGAAGTCTTCCTTTGCTCTTGTGGCTGCCGGGTAAGAAACAGGTTTATTGTGGATTGATTTTGTGGTCCTTTCTGGCACGTCTTCCTCTTGCCTCTGGTCTTACCTGGGACAGTTTGTATTTTTCTGAGATTTACACTTAAGAAGCAGAAAGTGGATGAAAATGTAGGATGTTGCCCTTTGAACGGAAATGGCCTTTTGGGAGAACTTGCAGTGGAGTATTGGAGAAAGATGCGAGATGCACCTGGGCCCAAAGACAGGAAGAGAAGACAATATGAACTGGGTATCGTCCTGCATGCCTGTAATCCCAGCCTTCTGGACGCAGAAGCAGAAGGTTCCAAGGTTCAATATCAGCTTCAGCTACAAACCAAGTTCAAGACTAACCTGCCTTATAGGAGACGCTGACTCACAAGATAAAGAAACAAGCAGGAAACGCACATGCAGACAGAGACAGAGACAGAGACAGATATTCAGAGAGACAAACAGATACAGAGACATATAGCCAGACAGACACAAAGAGAGACACAGAGACAGACAAACATAACACACACACACACACACACTCAGAGAGCAAGAACACACACAAGGACAGTGATGCTCTTCTTGGTTGTCAACTTGGCTGCATCTGAAACCTAAGTGCCTGGGTATACCTGTGAGGGACTTTTCTTAGTTAAATTATTTGAAGTAAGAAGACTTTTAATCTGGATATTTTGAGGTTGGAAGATCCATCTTTTAAATCTGGACCATGTCTTCTGCTGGCAGTCTATATAAGGATGTGGAAGAAGGAAGCTTGCTCTCTTTGCTTGCTTGCTTGCTTTCACTCTTGCTAGTAATTCCTTTGTTGGCATTAGAGCTACATCTTCAGGATTCCAGCATATGCTGAAGACCAGCTGAGACACCCATCCTTGTGGTCTGAACAACTACTGGAATCTTACATTAATAGACATCCATTGCTGGCTTAACTGAACTGTAAGCCATTCTAATAAATCAGGATCTTTTAAGTTCTTTTTCTCTAGAGAACCCTGACATATGCGTGCGTGCACAGACACACACACAGACACACACACACACAGAGATACAGACAGACAGATAAATAGTCATAGAGAAACATACGCAGACAGACAGACACCAAAACAAACATGTTAGAAAAAAGCAAGTAATAATAAAAAGAATATAATACAGAACTCTGATTAATACAGTGGTCTCAAAAATAAAGTTGACTTTTTCCTTTTAGCCAATGAATCAGATTGCATAATCTCTTAGCTATGAACCTGATTGATAGACTTTCCTTTGGGTTCCAGCTGTGCACAGATACCTTCTTAGTGCTCACCTTTGTTTGACCGTGTGATGCTCCTCCTGACTAAGGCAGAACTCTGCTTTGTTCTGCTTTCAACAACTGCTCCTTCCAGGAACTTATGATTTGATCAAGCCTCCTCCAAAGCCTTGCTTCTCAACCCATGGCATTATTAGGAGGTAACAGACCCTTGAAGACCCCATGGGAGGTCTTCAAGTCACTAGAAGTGTGTCCTTTAAGGGTGTATTGGGACTCTGACCCCTCACCTTTCCTCTCCCTTGCATCTTCTTCCTGAGTGGACTGCTTTTGCTATGTGCTGTTGCTATGGACAATGGGACCAACCAATCACAGAATGACACCTCCAAATCTGTGAGCCAGACTAGACCTTTTCTCTTTCCAAACTAATTACCTTGGGTGCTTACTGCGGCAGTGGAAAGCTGGCTCGCAAACAGGAGGTCCCTGTCTTACTAAGTAACATAACCCTTGGTTCAGCTGCTCAATCCTTGGAGTTGCTTGCTGATACCTGGCTTCCAACTGAGCCAAGTGCTCTGAAACTTTGTTCCAGGGCTGGTCAGCCAACTGGGGCAGAGGTGGTAGCTTCTAGATCCATGGTGGTGTTTTTTCTTAAAGGTTTGGCTGCCTGGAAACAAATCCTTTCAGAGATTTTATTGGCCCTCCCCATTCCTCATACTTAATATGTTTGCCCCATCACCCACATTTAATACATCTGCCTGTTACTCATATTTTAATCCGTCATGTCATCTCTTTGAAAGAGGTGCAGTGATTTCTGTTGCATACATCTGCATTCTGACTGGTAGAGTGTTACTGATCCATAAATGTGAATATGAAAGTTTCAAAACGAAGAAGAAAAGCATGTCTACAAAAAATGGACTTCACAAACCATTTCTTAAAAAGAAAAATATTAATCCTTGAAAAATGGAATTCTACTTCCAAAAAGGAATCACCCTTGGTTAGTGTGATGGCTAGGTTCAGCTGTCAGCTTGGCAGAACTTAGAATCACCTGGTAGAGTGTTGTAGTGAAGAGCTGTCCTCATCAGGTTGGACTGGGGGTGTCTCTGAGGGATTGTCTTGTCATAGTCGTTGAGGGGAGGCCTACCAAATGTGGGTGGCCCAGATAAAAAGACACGGAAGGGCAAAGGTCACTGTTTTGGCTGTTTGCCTTCACTGTTGAGCTGAAGCTCGTCTTCCCTGTTGCTGGGGCTTCCAACTCTTTCACTAGAACGGAACCAGAGTCTTCAAGTTTGCCATGGGGACTGGAAGACTCCTCTCTTCAGCTCTCCAGGCTCCTCAAGGGATTCGGTTTTGTCCCTCTAGAGAACACGTGACTGATACAAAGAAAGCTCCTTGCTGTCACACCTGCCTTTTGTTTATTTCTTGTGACCAGCTTGGCTCTTCAGTGTGTTATGACACTCTGCCTTAAGTCATAACTCAATTTTATCCCTAGATGAATGAGCTCAGTTATATTCCCCTGTATTCTCATGGGCAACCCCATGTCAGTGTGCCCCTTCTGTTTTAAGTCACCAAAGGCACAGGCAAATGAGTTGCTAGGTTTCTCCAAAGGATAAAGAAATAAGATTCCTTTTTGAGTTTAAAATGCTGATCCTCATTTCTGCTACTTGTAATGTTCATGTATGCTTTAGAAGCTAACAGAAAATATAAAAAAAAAAAAAAACCTGGCTGGTACAATAGTGACATTTCATAAATGACACCAGGTGTCAATTACTATATTCCTAACAATTGTAGAGAGCTGTCTTAGTTAGGGTTTCTACTGCTGTGACGAGACACCGTGAGCAGTGCAACTCTTATAAAGAAAAACGTTTCATTGGGGCTGGCTTACAGTTCAGAGGTTTAGTCCATTATCATCATGGCGGGGAGCATGGCAGCATGCAGGCAGACTTGGTGCTGGGGAAGGAATTGAGAGTTCTATATCTCCACCCGCAAGCAGCAGGAAAGAGACTGTGTACCACACGGGGCCTGTGAGCTGTGCTCGCTTGCTCAGGCGCATCAGCCCAGCCTCACACAGGATTGGTGAGCCAATGGAGGACATGGGAGAAGGGTCTCAAGGGGAAGCTTCATCCGCTACCCTGCGGGCAGGGATGGTGCAGGCCCCATGGATTCAGCAGTCAACTGCATGCAGCATTGTCATGGGACTGGTCCTGTGTGCGGATCTGGGCTGTGCCCTATTACTCTTGCGTGGTTCCTGAGTTCAATTCTCCAAGCTTCCATGGGCCCACATGGATATTCTTTCATGGCCAACAAAGACAGGTCTTACTCATAACCAACCCCACCCCCCCACCACCACCACGAGACACACACACACATGCCTTTCTAAGGTATCTTCTGGGTCTCACTGTGCCTTCTGGAACTTCGGGACCATCATTAGGAAAATCCACCATGCCCTTGACCTTTCCCCTCTTCTTCCCCTCCTGTCCCTCCCCTTCCTCCATTTCTCTTATTGCCAGCCTTATGGCACTTACCTAAGGAACCTGCTTCCACTGAGGTTCCCTGTGTGCCCCCAGGGAGTGTGTGTGTGGGGGGGAGGGGTACAAACAGGTGTGTGTCTGGATCCTTACCCTTGCTCCAGACCCCCAAGACACAGACATTAATATCACATCATCAGACTCTACCACTCCCAGCTGACCAATCAGCTATTACTTGTCTCTAATGTGGCTCCCTCTGATCTCCCAGAAGCCTATGGAATCTCCCTTCCCTTCCCAGTCCCCAGGACCCTCTTGCTCTCAGTCAGTGCCTTTTCTTTCCTTGTTGTTTTGTGGAAGAGACTGACACTCCACCGCCTCCCAGGGCTCAGCAACCCACCGACGTCCACAGTGCCAATCTCCTCATTTTCTTCCTACATAACCTTTGCTCAAGTCTAAGGCTAGACCTTCCAATGTGCTAGAGCTGGCACCCTAGGGGGGGCACACAGACAGTCCTCTCAGCTCCCTCCTTATCGGTTTTGTAACCCCCACCCTGTAACTATGCCAGAAACTGCAAAGCTTCTGCCCCCGCCTCTTGAGGTTTTAACATCGAAAGGGAACCGTTTCGAGGAACACAGTAAACAGACACATTGACGACCATCCAGATGGCTGAAGTCCAAGCTTGCATTTCAACCGCATTTCGATCCCGGGATTCGCTCCCTTGCTGCCTTAGTTGAGTTCCCAGCTCTGGCTGAGGAGAAATGAGACGTCAGCTCTAGGAAAATTGCTGTGAAGAATGGAGCTTGACGCCGAAAGCTGCTTCTAGCAGCCCTGGCTGAAAAACCCATAGCCGTCTCCCAACTCACCGCCCCTTCCTGCCTCCAGACCTGAGCCGTCATCAGGTCCTCTCACGTCCCAGCAGACAGGGTCTAAAGAGGCGGCACTCAATAGCCCCTGTATCTACAGTACTTTCTTGCTTCTGTCCACAGTCTGGTGAGTGTGTATGTGCATAGATTCCTGTGCTCTCAGACCCGGAAGGTTTAGCTGGTGTTTCGGGGGAACAACGGACGGGTTTTCTAAAGCTTTGGGGGTTAGTCTGTATGTTTGAACTTCTACGTTTTGTTTGGGCTGGTGAGATGGCTCAGCTGATAAAGGGTCTTGCCGCTAAGCCAGACTTCTTTAGTTCAATATCTGGGGCTCTGTGGTGAATGAAACTCCTGAAAGTCGTCCTCTGATCCCTGCGTGAGTGCTGTGGCCTGTGCACATGTGCACACGTGACCAGACACGGTGTGGATGTTTTTTGTAGATAGACAACAGCAGTTAGTTATACAGGTGACGGAAGACTAACTTTCTGTTTGTAAAGTCGGCTTCCCTCCCTGCTGACACAGAAAGAGCCCAGAGGGGCTTTCTCTCCAAAGGCTGAGAGGTATCCTGGTCTCCACTGGGACTGTGAGAAGTGCTTTTGACTTAGGGTGTTGAGGTTTAAACTAAGGGAATGCTATGTTCTGCATAAGTGTTCCTTTAAGGTCCACACTGTAAAACCATGGTCCTCAGCCTGGGGGGAGGAGGGGTCCTGAAAAGGGGTGATAATTTTTGAAAAGTAGAGCCTAGTAGAAGGGAATTGGGTAGCTGGGGTGCACTCATGGAGGGCTATTGGACCATGGTCCCTTCCTGCTTCTCTCTTTGCCTCTCAGACTCCGTGAGGTGAGCGGTTTTTTACACTACAGACTCCAAAGCAACAAAGCCAACCAACCAACCAGGGGCTGGTTGTGAATCAAGATAAACCTTTTTTCTTAGACGTTGCTTTCCTTGTAGTAACTGAAGTCTGATTACTAGGAGATTTTGCAGCATATGAATTTTTATAGTCCTCAGTCTGCTAATGGAAGACCTTGGGATGAGTTCCTTCCCACTCAAAGTAGTGAATAAAGCCTATTCAATGTCCTTGGGGTCACTAGGGTTATGGCCCATCTAGGTCAGTATAGGACCCTGAGGGAATGAAAGTTTTATAGAGAGAAGATCATTAATAACAAACTGGAAGAAGAAACCAATACTCATTTGGGGGAATTTACACAAACAAGGCCCTGTTTTTACATGAACACTTTTAGCTTTGGAATGCTGTGAGTTTATTCATTCAAGACTGTTCTTATTTGAATTGGGAAAATTGGCTCTGGACTGATGACCCAGGACTAATGGCCCTGGTCTATGTGCCTTTGATCTGCGTGGCCCTAGTCTGCATGGCCCTGGTCTGCATGGCCCTGGTCTGCATGGCTCTGGTCTGCATGGCTCTAGTCTGCACGACCTTGGTCTGCTGGTCTGCATGACTCTGGTCTGCATGGGTTTGATCTGCATGGCTCTGGTTTGCATTACTCTGGTCTGCATTTTCTGGCCTAAAATGGCTCTGGTCTGCATGGCTCTGGTCTGAATGGTCCTAGCTTGCATGGCCTTGGTCTGCACGGTTCTGGTTTGCATTACTCTGGTCTGCATGGCTCTGATTTGTGTGACTATGATCTGCATGGCCCTGGTCTGCATGGCTCTGATCTGCATGGCCCTGGTCTGTATGGCTCTGATCTGCATGGCTCTGTCTGATGACTCTGGTCTGTATAGCTCTGGTCTGCATGACCTTGGTCTGCATGGTTGAAGTCATGTAACTGGCAATTATATCTGCACAGCAGCTCACACCAACTTTCCAGATCTGTACACCACCTAGCCTGGCTGTTCTCCTTCGCGGGGCGTAAGTGGCTTTCAAGAAACTGTATCAAAGCTCATCCTAATTAAGTAGTGCATCTCCTGAGTGGAGATCCTGTAGCATGTTGCCCAGTGCCATGGATGCCGTTGTGACTACTGCCTAGTCCACTGTCCTCCTAAAATTACCCCAAGGCTAGAATGAGCACTTTGTTTGTCTGAGTGATGTTTGTTGGAGTTCAATATTTTCTTCCATTACATCTGGACTTCACAGCCATGGACAGACTGCAGACATAGCCGATGCTGCCTGCTGGCTGGGGCAGGCTCACACTGTTAGCTTTTTTCATACAGTTCATTCCCACCACCTGCCTGGGATATGGTACCACCTACAGTGGAGTGGAACCTCCTACAGCAGTGAACAATCAAGACACTCCCCCAACACAGACAGACAGATGGACAGACAGACAGACAGACAGATGAAGCCAATCTGATGCAGGCAATCTCGCAAGTGAGACTGTCTTCCAAGATCATTTTAGTTTGCGTGAAGATAATAGTTAAAGCCGTCCAGGAAATGGGACCCTCACCTTTAACCCCAACACTCCAGAAGCAGAGGGAAGGCAGACAGATCTCTGTGGGTTCTAGGTCTTGTCTCATTAAACACAAACAATCAGAAAGCAAACAACTACCCCTCGGAACCTAAACCTATCTAGAACGGGGTGGGAGGTGCTTGCGAGCAAAGGCTTTCTCCTTTGTATCCCCTCCCTCCTGCCTACTCTGGCACCCTCCCGTGCTGATCCATGTGGCCCACTGTGCCTCTCGTGTGCAGGGATCTGTGAGTGTAAACTGTCTTGATGGTGGTCGTTCCCAGAATTAAGCCTGTATCTGACCAGGCTTAATTCAAACCAATTCCGTGTGTGAGTCTTTCAAACAAGCAGGGTTGAGTGGTTTTCACTGTGTGGCTGTGGAAAACTATGTGTATCTGCACACAGAGGGAATCTCTCACGGGTGAAGGGCCTTCCCAGAACTTTACTCCTTTACATATTTTAGGAACCCACCCACCAGTGAAGATGTGAAGCTCACCTTCTTCCCAAGAACCTCCGAAGCAGATTCCTGCCTTATCAGCCTTCCTCATACCCAGTTCATGGGTACACAGTCAATTGGATGCACTTATCCTGACCTTTGTGTGAGGAGGGAGGGAGAGGGGAGGATTGATTGTGGCAGCAGCCACAGCAGTGGTGGCGGCAGCAGCAGCGGCGGCTGATTTTTAAGGACAGCTGAGACAGCAGTACCAGCGATGCTTTGAGTTTGGATGCCTGGCACTGTAGCAGGGGCCCAGCAGACAAGCAATGAAGCTGCTCGGGACTGAGATGGAGCTGATGCCTCCCAGGCTCCTACCTGGCCTCCAAGCAGGCCCTCCAGCTTTGTAAGTGCTACTGCAAGCTGCCCGCTGGCTTCATCTTCTTCTTTATTTAAATGATGGTTGTTTCTATTGATTAGAGCCAGTGATCTTGATAGATAAAATCTGATGCTTCTTTCCCTCCATGCTTTCCCCTCCCTCCTCCTTCCTTCCTCCTTCTATCTCTTCCTCTTCCTCCTTCCCTCCATCTCTGCTTCTTTCTTCCCTCTCTTCTTCCTTATCTTTCAGTTTCCAGAAGACGAATGCATGCAACTAGCTTCATTTTGCATCTGCCAAGATGCAGCAACATTTTCAATCATGGTTAGTGAGAATATCCTTCATGGTTTTAGCAATCAAATAAATGCTCACCAATAAGTGTAACGTGTGCCAATGCTTGTGTCTGTACAAACATCACAGACACTCTCAATCCTGAAGCAACTCACAGTGCTTGTACTCCTGTCCTCCTCAGAGAAAGCCTATGGTGGGCCACCATCATTCTCACCCTCCTTTGACTTGGGAGGAAACTGAGGCACAATCACCTTTTGAGACTTGCCTGAGGTCACAAAGTCATGTCTGAGAAGAACTGGAAGTCCAACTGGGCAGCTCATGCCCAGCAAAGTCAGAGAGCTGACAGAATGAGCTATTCAATGGGGAGGGAGAGCTTGGAGTTGCTGGGATGGGAGGGGCTTAAGGGAGGGGACAGTGAGGAAGGAGAAATGAAAGCTTGAGAAAGTTGGAGGCTATTTAATGCATGGGGATGCCACGGAGATCACAGGCAGCCAGGTGCACAGCCCTGGCGGTGATAGCCTACAAACTGTAAAAGCATCAGAGGTCTGATTGTAGATTTGACAGCCTGACGTGTCTAGAAAGTATAAATTGAGGTCGCTGGTAAGGAGACATGCCCGAAGCCAAAGCAGGCAGGGTCTATCCCTGGCATCCTCAGACAGTGGCTGGAGTGGGGCAGATAGCTTGCAGCAACTGGAGGGCAGAGGAAACTCTCAGCTGGGTGCTCCGTGGCTCACTCATATTTTGCTGACGACTGTGCATTGTAATGACAGATAGACCCACAGTTTTAGAGGACCTAGTCTGAGGAGTGTCCAGGGTTCCAAAGACACTTCAGGTGACAGCCCTGGAGTCCAGGGTCCTTCAGAGCCAGGAGCAAGCCATCATAGTAATTGTCTGAACAGAAGCCAGAGCTGCATCTGCCTGTACTGGACACAAAGTAGAAAGTCATAGACATAGATTCCTCCTCCTTCCAGGGGGTGGGGGGGGAGGAGAGAAAGGGAGGGAGAGAGGAGAGGGAAGGAAGGAGGGGGTGAGAGAGATGGGGAGAAGGGGGAGGAGGGAGAGGGATGGAAGGATGGAGAGAGACGTGGGGGAAAGGGGGAGGAGAGAGAGGGATCGGAAGAGAAAGAGAGAGAGAGAGAGAGAGAGAGAGAGAGAGAGAGAGAGCACAGTATGAGATGAGTCTGCTTGCTTGCTTTGCCAGAGGTCTCTCCCAGGGCCAGGCTTGGACTTCACCTGAGGAAGCCCCAGAGCTGGTGGTTCTCCAAGATCACCTCTTCAGTGGCACCCCCGTGAAGCCTTCTCTGTCTTCTGGGGCTTCACAGCCCCAGGAAAACTGACCACTCTGTTGAATGCCCCCACCCCCAGGAAGCCAGCCCTCATCCCTCATCCCAACAGTGCCTTCTAAACCCTCCGGGTTCTGCACCTGTGCAACCATCAGCTGAGACGGCTGAGCTCTATTCTGCACCTGTCACTCTGCTTCCCAGGGACCCTCATCAGCTAGCCAGAGGTCTCCCAGCCGGCTTCTTTCCTGCATGCGCTGAGTGGCCTGTTTTCTTCCATGACCACAGGTAAGTAAACAAGTTAATCCTGAGGCTTAGAGGAGACTGCTGAGCATGCTGGGGAGACCATAGGTGTGAGCTCAGAAGGAAGTTAGCAACTTGTGAGCGCTTAGGAAATGGTCATGTCAGAATGCTAGAGGTCGCTTGCTGCTGGGCAGAGTTCAGCCTCCTGGTTGACCTTGCTGGACCCCTTCAGAGCATTGGGGAAGCAGAGGGTTGGAGTGACTATGGAGACTTCTGTCTAGTGGCATCTACTACTGTGTCCATTCTCTTGTTACTTTGTTTATTCACTCAGCCAATATTCTGCACACTTATGTAAATCAGACAGACACTGGCTAGGTGGGGGGATTTACTGATCTGAAAGGTAGCAAGTCCTCACAGCTTGTGTGTATCGAGGCTGGAGTTAGTTGACAGGGTACCTGCATCAACTGATGAAGGTGCATGACCTTCAAGATTCCACCTGACCTTGAGTGCTCCTGTTAAGCTCCTGTGGTGAGCAGGTCACTGAGCAGAGAAGCAGTGGAAGCAAAGAGTATGTTCTTCATATCAGGAACACGACAGAGCAGTGTTATTCGGGAAAATGAACACTCGACAACATTTCCTCTAACCTGGGTGTCTCGTTGGTGGAGAACCGGGACTTCCTGTGTGGTGTTGCATGAGAGGTTTCTGGATGGCACTCGGGAGGGGGAGCTAAGCATGTCTGGGGGAAGAGGCAGAGCTTCTGGAAGGGGTAGACTGTGTTCTGATGAGTGAGCAGCTAAGAAGCAGCCGCAGGAGGAAGGCAGGCAGGGAAGAGGGTCCTAGTTGCACTGGTTTTAATAGAACCTGACCTAGGCAGATGAGCAAGGCTGCAAAGAGCCCCAGGGCAGTGGAGGGTGTACCAGACCCTGGTGAGCATCACCCCAATGGGAACATTCACACCCCTGAGCCCTTTACACTCGCAATAATTTTTGTTTGTGTTTTCATTTGCATGGGCATCATTTACCCAGACTTAACATACAGCGACATCACTCTGCTGTCATCCGTATCCCAGAACTGCTAATCCAGCCATAGTGGGGCTCACAGTCCAGAGCTTTTCACTTTAAATATCTATGTAACTAGTGGTAGAAGGTAACTCTAATTACTGCTGATTACCTGGAACAATTTCTCCTTTTAACTTCCCGGGACAAATTAATGAAATGATCACAGTGGGCTAATTACAAAAGGTGGAGCTCGGAGGCAGCTCAAGCACATCCTCTGGAGCCAACTGCATCCCATTTGCTCATTGCTCCAGACGGCCCCTAACAGACATCCTCCCTGGATCTCTAAACGGTACAGTTTCAGCATGGCCGCACCCCTGGCCTCAGTAATGGAAGGGAGCAGATCTTTATTCTGTGTGATACCCTCAGACCTCATCCTCGGAATCTGCAGCCTTGGTATCATTTGAAAGAGCCAGGGACCTGCATACACTTTGGATCCAGCTGAGCCCAGCTTCAGAATGAATGCCTCGTCTCTCACAGACTCCAGTCTTGATGTGGCTTGGCAGTGGTGGTCATAGTGTCAGGGTTTCTAGCACACAGTCAAGTGCTGGTTGAGCTCTTACATGGTCACCCCTGTGGTTGATGGCATCGCTATATGACTTAGAAGCGGAGAGATTGCGTTTGTTCCCAGTTGTATCGTTTTTGAGCTCTGTGAACTTGGGTTAAGTCTGTCGACTTCTCTGAGTAGCAGCCTTTTAATTTCACACAGGAGACATTAGTACTCTTCCTCCACACCTTCCTGGGGTGATGTGAGTCCACAGGAGGGCAAGGGTACCACAGCGCTTTGTCAACCCGAGGGACATCAGTGGAAATTGTTCTCAGGAAGACCTTCTAGGAGTTAGCATAAAGGCAGACCCTGGAATGGTCCTTTCCAGCACTTACCCAGCCTGTTTCCCAACACAAGAACAAAACAGTGTGCTTTTATGCCCATAGGGTGCTGAATATAAGGGACTGAGGTTTTTAATTTTTTATTATTTATTATTTTATGTGTATAACTGTTTTTTGGGCATGTATGTCTATGCACCTCGTGCATGCCTGATTCATGCAGAAACCAGAAGAGGAATCAGACCCCTGGAACTAGGGTCACAGCCCATTGTAAGCTGCCTGGTATAGATGGGTGCTGGAAACTGAACCCAGGTCTCAGCCACTGAGCCATCTCTTTGTGTCCAGGAACTGAGTTTTGTAACTGTTCTTTGTAACCCCTGGCTGGTTATGACAGTGGTCGTGGGGCCTAAGTCATTCACACGTGCAGGTGCAAGGAAGGCCTGATGTCCCCCCATGGTAGAGAGAGAGGATGAGAGGAAAAGGACAAGCCACATACTCCAGGTCTCTCAGCTTAACCCAGCTGACGTCTTTCTGAGGTGTTTGCACAGAATCAGATATAAGGAAGAGCTCCCCAAGCCGGAGGAATTAGGGGTGTCCCCAGATGTCTTTGGGGCGAACGAATTCATCAGGCAGCACACCAGGGTGTGCGCGACTGCTAAGTTATCTAGAGCTCTTCTTTCTTGTGGTCCCTCTCTGTCTTCCAAACGACTTCGTTCTCTGTCCCTAATACTCAGTGTGCGCATTGCTGGCCTTGGCAGAGTGAGAGGTGGGGGAAAGACATGAATAAGGAAGAGGTAATTAGACAGCCGGGGAGATGGCCTGATGGGTGCAGACTGGAGTTCAGAATCCAGCTAAAAGCCAGGCAGCTGTGGAGGCTGCTTATAACCCCGGCACTTCAGCTGCAGAGACCTGCGACCCCCGAGGGCAAGCTAGGTAGCTAGACTAACTGGAATTGGCGAGCCTCAGGTTCAGAGAGAGGCCCCGCTTCAATAAATAAAGTGGAGATTGATTGTGGGAAAACATCCAGTGTCAAACTCACACCTCCACATGGATATACACACGTGCACGCACACGAGCAAACAAATACAATAAAATGCACACATACACAAGTGACACACAAGTTAAGTAACCAGGTTATAACAGTAACCAGGTTATAACAGTAGCCAGGTTATAGCCGTAGGTATTTCCCCCGGCCACATTCCCTAGCCCCAGTGGCAAGCCTTGGTCTTCTCCATCAGCTCTCCTGGCCTCCGTTCTCCTCGGGCACATTTTACAGGGGACCCAGAGTGAGCTGAGAACTTGGTCTTCATTTCCAGATGCAAACTGGAAACAGGGCTTCTGAATCCTCATCCCAAGGAGGGATGTTCACAGCAGAATTCTGCTCTACTTGGAGCCTCTGCCACCTTTGCCCCGGTTTTGGGGGCATAGGAGTTCAGATTTCTTAAACCTAGTGAGATTACAGATGGACCCAGATGGACTTTTGCTACTGTGATAAAATACAGGTGTGTACCACGCCCTCAACCTATCGACAGCAACATGGTGTCCCGCCATCACCCGTGTCTCCACATCACCAGAACCACTGATGCTCCAGACTGTAAAGACTAGCTCCTCCCTCCTACGCCACTCTAGGTTCTGTCTCTGGGAATCTGATGTCTCCAGGTGTCTCCTCCTAGAAGTGGGGTTACTCAGTGTTTGTCTCCTTGGGTCCATCTTATCTAAAGGAGCATTCTGTACTCAGGGTTCAGCCCTGACACAGCAAAGCTCGGGACCATCCCTTTTTAAGGCTATATAGTCATTCTCTGTCTGCACAGATGATACTTTCTTCTTCTGTCTCTTGGGGACACGGGTTATTTCTCCCACCACACAACTCACTCTGACCGCTTATATCCATCCAGATGACAGACTGGAGTCTACGTTCTATGTGAATTTTGAGCGAGGCCACATCTGTGAGGCTGGAGGAGGACACAGACAACACACGGTGGGCGCTGTTCCATGCTAGAAAGACCTTTCAATATTATGCTGAAGGTAGAAAATTTGGAAAATGTAGAAAAGTGTCAAAACATTGTAAATGCCTCTAATCCTGGCACCCAGAAGACACCAGGTGGCTCCAGGCCTATGAGAGAAAGACGCTGGCCCAGATCCTTTCCCTGGAGGTGGAGGAGCTGGGGCTAGGGAAGCAGGTCCAGCTCTAGGCTGCTGCCACTCCAGAGGTGGCTGAGGATGGTGCCATGTCTGAGGGTGGCTCCCCTGTAGGGGGTGGTTCTGAAAGAGTTTTTTCCGAGCTGATACCTTTTGGAAATCGCTAGCCTTTTCTACCTGCTGCCTGGGACGTTTGGGGAGGGCTCAGGACAAGGCCAGGCTCCTCTAAGAGAGAGATAGATACCCCGTGTGTGGTCATGCTGTGTGCAACATAACACTGACATAAAAGTAACCGCTGACCAGGATGGTATTCTCCCAAGGGAACAGAGGATAAATGAAAATGTCAAATGTTCAATTTTTTTCAAGATCATAATATAATCACATCATTTCTGCTTTCTCTTCCCTTACTCCAAACTTTCCCAAACACTTCCGCCCCTCATTCTTTTCCAAATTCATGACCTCTTTTAAAAATTGTTGATATATATATTATATACATTCCTATATACATTAATACAACCTGCTTAGTCTGTATAATGCTACTTATATGTATGTTTTCAGGGCTGACCATTTGGTATGGGATAACTAACTGGTATGCTCTTCCCAGGGAGACTATTTCTCCATCTCGGAAGGTTCCTGAGCTGTCTGTAGATCTTTGTGTAGGGAAAAGACTTCACCGCTTTTCCGCGTCCATGTTAGCGTGTCTATCGTGGTTATCCTTGTTCAGCTCGTGGTCAGGCAGCCATGCTGGCGAGACTTCATGAGTGTAGCTGCTGACATTTCTAGGAGACACAGTCTCACGGCAAAACCCTGTTCCTCTAGCTGTTACAATCTTCCCACCCCCATTCACAATGGTCTGGAGCCTTAGGTGCAGGAGATAGATAGTCACAAATGTATCCGCTGTCTCTGCTGGGACCTGATGGTCTCTACATGTTGCAAAGAGAAATTCCCTTGATGAGGTATGGGCTAGATTGCAGGATCTGACTGCGTAAAGAGGTTGGATGTGGTGTGGGACAGACCTGTGGGTCAGGAGCTGAAAATCTCCATTTTTAATCTGTCTCTGAATTGAAATCTCTTGTGAAAATCAATGCAGGTGGATCTTTCCCCTTAAACACATCCTGGAGCTGTCAATTATAATGGCAAATATTTCCCAGAAACCACATCATGTTGACACTTCCCCTGCTCACTCTTCCCTTACTTGGCACAGTCGCTTTGTATTGCCACTGGGTCAAGGTGCGTTGACCCTCACAGCAGCAGCCCTTCTCTTTAGTGTTTTGGAGTTCACATATGGACACCTATGACCCCATCGGACTATGTACCTGTTCTGGGAGGTTCCAGCTATCCTACAGCTAAGCTCATTTGCCCTGGTGCTAGTGGCATGGCCAGGAAGCAAAGTCATGTTTGTGGACTCTGGATGGGGTAACAAGGGCAATGCCGAGGGACGACAGTATGGAGGAGAGACTTGCTGTACTGCTAGACTCTCTGCTGGTTGTTTGGGACGGGACAGGATAGACCAGAGGTTGAGGACCAGAGAACAGTAGCTTCTCAGCTCCCTTGGTAACCATTCTGATTCCTGCATGGATGTGGCCCCTTCTGTGTTTCTTTGAATAAGCAGCCTCTTATTCATGCTTTTTGAAGCCATGGCTAAGTACACACAATAGGAAATTTACTGTTCATGGCATTCTGGACTTTAAAAATGCTATGCACCTATCACTATTCTAAAACATTCCAGAATTTCCCAGTACATTCTCATCACTGTCAACAGGAAATCCCATGTCTGTGCTGAGAGCCCGAGTGCTGTCTCCAGGTCATGTACACACAGTACCCCACGTGAACATTTGCATATATAAACTCTGTGTGTGTGGTGGTGCACATGTGTGTGGGTGCACATGTATGCACACATGTTTAGTGACCCAAGGTTGGCCTCAGATGTTCTTCAGACGTCACCTTTTATTTTATTTTATTTTATTTTATTTTATTTTATTTTATTTTATTTTTGAGATAAGGTCTCTCACTGGGACCGGGGCTTGCTGACTATATTTGGCTGGGTGACCAGCAAGTCCCAGAGGTCACCTGTCTCTACCTCTCCTGTGCTGGGATTACAAGTGCATGCCCCGACACCCAGCATTTTAAGATAGGTACTGGGGCTCAAACTCAGGTCCCTGTGCTTGTAAAGCAAGCACTTCACCAACTTAACCACCTCCTCAAGACCTAAATATGTAAACTTTTAAAGGCAATAATACTTAGTGTCATTGTGGTCGTGTGATTAAGCTCTGTACTGTGTGGAATAATTCACTAGCTTAGGATTCTGCTTCCCTCCAACTCGACTGTGTGAGACATTTTTAGCCATCATGAGGATCTGTCTTCCTCAGACCCAGGATCTTCCTGCATCAGCTCCAGGTTCACCATCCCAGAGCTAGCAGAGGATAGCCACATCTTCCCAACCAAGAACATTTTTAAATAACAGTTTTTTGAAATATAATTCATCATGTCAAGCACAAGAGTTGGTCAATTTTATTGTGTTCACAGAATTGTGCAACCATCTCCATTACATCATTCCAGAACTTTCTCCATATCCATACCGCACCCATGAAGACAGCCCGTTGATCATCTGGATTCATTCCCATTCCCTTCTGAACTCACTCCTCTGCATCATGTTTCCAGATCCACCTGGCCTGGAATGCGCCCATCAACAAACTCCCACAATATCTGGCTGGCTTCTTTCACCTCGCATGTTTTTGAAATCCATCCTGTCAATCACAGATGCCATCTTAGTACTTAATTTCTTCTCATGGCTGCCCTGTATTTTACTGTTTAGGTATCCCATCCTTTGCTCAACTGTCCATTGATGTGGGAGTGTCATATATCAATCTGTTGATTTCATTGGTTAATTAAATAAAGAAACTGCTTGCCCTGATAGGTTAAAACATAGGTGGGAGGAGTAAACAGGAGGAAGAGGAAGTGAGGTAAGACTCCTCAGAAAGACGCGAGATAGCTCTGCTCTCAGAGACACATGCGATGAAGCTTCCGACTCAGGATGGACATAGGCTAGAATCTTCCCGGTAAGCGCACCTTGGGGTGCTTACACACATTATTAGAAATGGGCTAGTCCAGGTGCGAGAGTTAGCCGAGAAGAGGCTAGATATAATGGGCAAGCAGTGTTTAAAAGAATACAATTTGTGTGTTGTTATTTCGGGCATGAGCTAGCAGGCGGCCGGGGTGCTGGGGACACAGCCCTGCCGCTTCTTATTTCAACAGTCCATTGCTCACGAGCATTTGTTCACCTGCATCTTTGGGTCATTGTTCCTAGGGGCCGTAGTCTTCCGCTGACCGCCCTTTCCAGTATGATTATCCCCACTTCATAGATGAGGAGCTGAGGCCACTACAGAAGGAATGTGGTCCCTTCCTCTGTGAAGGTCAGTCGTGTCTCAGCTTGTCAGCGATTGAGTGACTTTGGAGAAGAGGAGAAAGAAGCTGCTCCTCTATGAGGCAGAGCAGCCAAGAAGCCCCGCACTCCAGGCAGGCCTGTTAACAGCCATGCACGCTCAGGTTTCAACCCTTCCTGGAGTATGAAAGACAAAGACACTGCATGCCACATCACGTGACCTAAGAGTCCTCCCCCTTCCCCTATTTAATTGCAGAGGAGAGGCAGGGGCCTCACTGAAGCCAGCACCTAGTGGTCCAAGGGAGACCAGGACCCTCTGAAGCCATGAGCCCCTCCCATCCTGCTTTCCAGTCCCGGATATATCTTTCTCTCTGGGGTCTCCTTCTGATGCCAGCAGGTGAGTGGGTACCACCACTATCACTAGGACTTCATCTTACCCTTGTGCCCTCACAGACCACATGGTGGACTTTCCTGAAGGGCAAGTCACTTAATCTTCAGGGCTACATGGGGACATTCAAGGTCATTGTCTGGGTGGCCACAGGGCGAAGAAGACAAGGGGGTGGCTCAACTCTATTATGAACAGCTTTGTCATCTTGAATGCCCCCAAGCCTTTTGGTATTCTTGTCTGCAAAATGCAAACAGCATCATGGAACACTCAAGATCACTATGGGAATGAAGGAAGCTTGCACCCAGCACATAGGCTGGGGCAGGTCTGTGGAGACACACATGGTGGTTGTGTTCATTGTCGTACTTTCTGTCCCAGCGGCTGCTGGCTGCCGGGTCTTTTTTTTTTTTTTTTTTTATCTGTGTAAGGTCATTCATTGCCTGCTCAGGCAGTAGAGCCCCAGAATGGGGAAGCTATTATGCAAAAAAACAGTGGAAAGGGCATGATAAATTCCACCAGACAGTTGTGCAGAGCTTTGCCCAGAAAATGAGAACTGGTCAGAGCTGGCTATTTAAGAGCTCAGGCTGGTACCCTTCATGGGAGATGTTCTCATGGGCATCAGTAGCTTGTTGGAAGAGTGGATGGAAAGGAGAAAAGTCTCACCACCCGCCAGACTCACATCAGTAGCTGAAGCCCCTCTCAGCCACCCCTGATCCCCCTTGGGGCTCTTTGGTTCTGGCTGAGACTGGTTTCTAGGTCTGAGCTTTCTTACTAGGCTGCGGGAGCCCTCACTCCCTGACTCCTCACTTGAAATCAGGAAGACCCTGCAAGCGCCTGCCTCTTGTATGGTGTCCTTAGGGCTATTTTAACCACTAATACACACTCATCTATGCAATCCCCAATGGTGTTTGAGATGTACTTCCTGTTTGCCTCCCCATACTAGGATATACACTGTTGAGTGTCTCTGCTTTGATGGACAATGGAAAGAAAACCACGGATTCAGCTCCTCGGCCTCATGTAGACTCTTTTTCTCTCCTATTCCTACTCCACAGTGTTGGCCCAGCGAGGCTCACGCACCCAGGCTGAGGACCGCCTGTTCAAACACCTGTTTGGAGGCTACAATCGTTGGGCGCGGCCAGTACCCAATACCTCTGATGTGGTCATCGTGCGCTTTGGACTTTCCATTGCCCAGCTCATAGATGTGGTGGGTCTGCCCGCTCACTCTGTGTTCCCTTGATCAGCCCCCCAGCCCACTTACTTTTCTCATGGTCCTCCCTAGATTCGGCTCAGTCCTCTCCCAGCAGCCCTCAAAGCCACTCTAGCTACAGCTTGTAGCTACCTAGCCGGGTTAACATGGTGCCTTCCTTCCCAAGCCTTGGAGTCCCTAAGAGAATGGGCTGTCAAAAGAAAGTTTCTAAAACACATGTCCAAAGTCCTTCCTCATGCCCCAGGTGATTCCGAGGAATCTGAGTGCTGGTGACTGAGCCATGAGAGATGTCTGGGCTTGTGTGTCCTGTGAGTGGGCCCCCAAAGTACCTCTTATATATTCTGCTTTCTGGGCTGGCTTGCCAGTCACCCCAACTGCTGTTACTTTCTGTCTCTGCTACCTTAGGATGAGAAGAATCAAATGATGACCACCAATGTCTGGCTAAAGCAGGTAAGCCTTCCCTTGTAGGAGCTGACAGGAGTGTCTCCAGTCCTCAGCCCCTTCTAGGACCCCACTATTGAGGGAGCATGGAGCAGCAAAATGCTGAATTCATGGGTTGTGATCAGTAGTCAAACTTAAGGTTTGTGGTAATGCAGGGTGCTCTCCTCGGGGGCTGATTTTGTATGTCCATGCCCTTAGTCCACTGTCCTTGTCACCCATAGCACCAAGAAACCCTTTTCTAGAAGCAAGCATTTCATAGTCCTAGGTCCTGCAGGATAGTTCACAGGACAGCTTACTGAATTATTACCCACTACCTCACAGAGCGAGGGGGTATCCAGATGTGGCCAGCTCCAAGACCCGTCTCCTTCTGTGTGTGTCTCAGAGGCTGTGCTGCCTGACAAATGACCCCAGAGCTCACAGACATAAAGCAATGACCATTTACTGTATCACAACCATTTGTGACCTGGCGCTTAGACAGCTTTCTTTGCTTTGAATGGTAACCAAGAAACCAGTGTCATCTGGGCCAGTTGGGGTTAGTCCATTGCTGTCAAAAATGGCTTCCCTTACATGTCTGTCCCTTACAGGGGTGTTTGGAAGGTTCTGGAAGATTCTGAAAGGCTGGGTTAATAGCTCTTCCATGCACACCCTCAGGTTCCTTCCCTGGTGTCTCTGGCGGGAGAATTGATGGATTTTTCACTTGGTGGTTCAAGATTCCCATAGTGAAGGTCCCAAGAGACAGAAAGTAGAAGTTGATAGTCATTTATGGCCCTAAAAAAGCCTCAACCTTATGCTATTCTACAGGCCCAGTCAGTAAATGACTGGAATCAGGAGGAGATAAAGATACCAGCTCTCCATGGAAGGAAAACTGAAGAGTCTGTGGACTTCTGAGATGGGTCGCTGTTGGGCAGACTCGGGAACTAAGGCCTGATTAGAGCTGGAAGTCTACCTTACCCCTCCTGTCTGCCCAGCTAACCCCAAGGCCTTCAAGTGGAGATAGCAGATGAACATGGGAAAAGGAAGCTAGCCCCTGCCTCCAGCTTCTTACTCTGGCCCCTTGGGTACCTGATTGGTCCTGTCTCAGAGTTTAGCATGCAGAAAACCACAAGGACCAAGATGGTGACATCTCTGAGTCATTCAAATAGATCTCTTGCTCTCTGTGGGTGTCTTGTGCACAACCCCCAACTCACTGTGTCCTGGGTGGTGTCTGGTGTGTAATAGCTACTTCTAAATTAGACGTTTGGGTCAGAAGTAGCTCTGAGCCAATCGCTTCTGACACTGTTGAGCCTAGAGTCATTGGAGGTTCTGTGCCCCATCTCTGCAGATGAACCAGTGGGAACCAGGTGAGGAAGAAGATTGGAAAGGCCTATAGTCATGTCATGGAAGGGGACAGGTCCAGAAACTAGGTCACCACTGTTGTCCTGGTCACCTGTATCAGGGCTGGTATATGAGGAGAGGCAAGTGCACTGTGGTAGAGCCAGGCCTTCTGTAGTTGTCTGGGACTACCCTGAGATGCTGGAGAAGTTACTAATCTTCTGGGAGCCTCAGTTTCCCTATCTGTTATAGACAGAAGTTTCTGTCCTGTCCATTACCACAGCCATTCAGTCCCAAATAAACACACAGAGGCTTATAATAATTATAAACTGTTTGGCCTATTGCTCAGGCTTATTACTAACTAGCTCTTATGACTTAAATTCGCCCATAATTCTTTTTTATGTTTAGCCACGTGGCTTGGTACCTTTTCTCAGTAAGGCATTCTTAACTTGCTTCCTCTGTGTCTGGCTGGGGACTGACTCTCTTCTGCCTTACCTCTTCCCAGAATTCTGGTTTCCTCACCTATACTTCCTACCTGGCTACTGGCCAGTCAGCATTTTATTAAACCAATATGAGTGACAAGTGTTTACAGTGTACAAGAGCATTATCCCACAGCAAAGTGGGTGACTCATTTACCATATGCCTGTGACATTCAGATGCTCCCATTTGATGCCAGTGTCCTCAAATGTACATACCTGAAATCCTGAAATATGGGCTAAACAGAGAATGGGAGCTCTGTTCTGGGAACCGAAGGGTATAGCTTAGTTCGGTACCATGCTTGCCTGGGAAGCCCTGGGTTTAATTCCCCAGCAACCATCTAAGTTGGGTGTGGTGGCTCATGCATGTAGTTTTAGTGCTTGGGAGGTGGAGGCTGAGGAGTAGAAGTTCAAGGTCATTTTACCATCATAGCAAGTTGGAAGTGAGCTTGGTTCCCTAAAACACCAATAAACAGAACAAAACAAACAACAACAAAACAAAACAAATCTGGTTTTAAAGCCCACTTGGACCCATTCTGCTGCAAGCATAGTTAGGACTTAGAGCATTCTCTTCCTGCTGGGAGTCCAGGACTAGGAAGGTCTCTGGAGCATAGTTTTAAGATCCCAGGTAAACTCCTTGCTTCACTGTCTAGTTCTGGCAGGCTCTGCGTTGAAAATGAGTGATGTTTAACAGATTTAAGAGGTGGGGAGTGTCAGAACAGGAACCAGAGGCAGGGCTAGAGTGCCAAGCGTGCTGGCTTTGGCATCCTGGGACTTTGGCTACCAAAGTCAGCGCAAAACAGGCTGGTTATCAGAGACGGCTTGCCTGGTTCCCACGTCAGAGTCTTTTCCTGGCATCATGGCCTCTTCTAATTCTGTGGGGCTAGGGAAGGGACTTGGGGACCTCTGATTCCACAGCTCGATTTATATCATCTTGAGGCTCCCCATGCCGCAGTGCCCTGATGCGACTCCCTCCTCTGAGCAGGAGTGGAGCGACTACAAGCTGCGCTGGGACCCAGCTGAGTTTGGCAACGTCACCTCCCTCCGGGTCCCTTCAGAGATGATTTGGATCCCAGACATCGTCCTCTACAACAAGTAAGAAGCCATTTGTTAATTAAAATATATCTCAGGGATGGAAAGATGATTCAGTGAGTAAGAGCCCTGGCTGTGAAAGCAAGAAAGGCCTGAATTTGAACCCTCAGCAGCACATACAAATCTGGAAATGTGTGTGTGTGTGTGTGTGTGTGTGTGTGTGTGTGTGTGTGAGAGAGAGAGAGAGAGAGAGAGAGAGAGAGAGAGAGAGAGAGAGAGAGAGAGAGAGAGAGCCGGGGAGACAAATGGATCCTAGAAGCTCATGGCCAGTCAGTTTAGCCAAAATGGGAAGTCTAAGAATCTTGAGATCCTGTCTCAAGAAATAAAAGCAGGCTGGGCATGCCTTTAATCCCAGCACTCAGGAGGCAGAGGCAGATAGGTAGACCTCTGAGTTCAAGGCCAGCTTGGTCTACAGAGTGAGTTCCAGGACAGCACTAGGGTCATACAAAGAAACCCTGTCTTGAAAAACCACACACACACACACACACACACACACACACACACACACACACACACACGATGGAGCAAGATCAAGGAAAGGCACTTCACATCAGGTCCATATACACTCAATTATGCACCAGCACCCCCAACTTGTGTGCATACTCCACATACATGCACACATGTGCACCAGCACCCCCACACATGTATACATACACCACACACACACTCATACATACATGCATACACATGCATGCATATAAACACAGTCTCACACACATACATGTTCACACACACATGCACACATGCACACACACACACATTTCTCATAAAAGAAACTAAAACTTGTTCTTTCCTTTCTGCTTAAGTAGGGTTTTGCTGAGAAGTCCAGACGTTCACACTTAAACAGCGGCAGTTTCTCCTGCTAATACAAGTCTAAAGCAGGTCTCTGGGACACACTGCTATTTTCTTGAAATACAAATGGGCATGAAAGGTTCTCAGTGGGGACAGGGAGAGGTCACATAATTTTGTATAGCATTGTCAGTCACATCACCACGCCCCTGATGGCAATCAACCCTCAAGTAGCTGCTGTTTGCTGTTGCTGCAGAGTCATGCCACCCCAGCCCCCACATCCCATCTCTGTGCCCTGAGCTGGAACCTAGGATCCTTCCAGTTTCTGCTTCTGAGAGACAGAGATCAGGTGCAAAGTTCGAGTGGCGGGGGCGTCTGGGTTTTAAGATTGCCAAGAAGATACTGGTCACTGATTCCTGATGGCAACAAGAAGGTCTGCTAGAACAAAGTCTAGTCCAACTGCTGTAGGCATTTTAAGTGTGTGCCCAATAATCACGCCTCCGGATTAATAGGCAAAAGGTCAATGAAATCACATGGTCTCCTGCCCCAAATGGGAGTCTGTTGCCATCTAGTGGTAGTTATGTGAAATGACCAAAATCATCACTACAGATTTGGGTTTAATATAGGAATTAGAGATGGAGTTTAAAGACTAGAATACATTCCCACCCAGGGGGACCCAGACTGAAGTCCTGCCTGCCAGTCTCCTCCTGTGAGCCCTTCTGCTTTTACACCCTTGTCTCATCTCCCAGCTAAATCCTACTGCCGTTGGCAAGCCAAAGCCTTTTAAATGACTGCTTTTACCGCAACCCTGTTCAGCCCAGACGGAAGTCCTTCCATATCTCGGGAGTGTTCCAAATGCCCTTTTGTACAGTGATGCTGTGTGAATTCTTCTCATTTCCAGGTAGTTCCCCAAGGCCAGGGATCACATTTTACATCCCGCAGGTACAGGTCTGGTAGATGAAACTGGCCTCAAATACTCCGCAGAATGCACAGGCTGCAAGGAGTTTCCCCTCTAGCCAAAATGTTAGGTCTCCTCTGGAAAGGAGCAGAACTTGGTGCCAAAGCCAGGGCCCTCCCCTTCTGGAGTTGACTTCCCATTGGCCAGTGAGGGAAAACCCTAAAAGGTCATCCCCCTAGTCAGGTATGGTGGGGCATACTGTAACCCCAGAATTTAGGATACTGAGGTCAGAGGATCACAAGTTCAAATCCAGCCAGCAAATTGTGGACCAGCCTGTGCTTCGTAGTGAGACTGTCTCATAAAACAACAACAAAACCCAGAAGAACTTCAACACTCTAAATGGATAAAAATAGGGGTTCAGACTATAAATGTGCCATGATTCAAAACATGTGGAAGCCAGTCTTTATGACAGTCAGATATGTAAGTACAATGCCAAAATGGCAATGATGATTCTTGTTTAATTCTTCAAAATCTTTGTTTCTGCAATTAAAGCAATGGTATTTGCAAAGACGACTCAGGATGCATCTGTCTGCAGCAGAGATGCCCACACTCCATGAATAGCCCTACTTAGCCAGTCAATGGCTGACTTTGTTTACCCTCCTTACCTTGCTGCCAGTTTCCTGAAGGAGGTAGGTACGCAGGACCCAAGCTTGTCTCCTCTCCTTAGTGCAGACGGGGAGTTTGCGGTGACCCACATGACCAAGGCCCAAATCGTCTTCACGGGCACCGTGCACTGGGTGCCCCCCGCCATCTACAAGAGCTCCTGCAGCATCGACGTGACCTTCTTCCCCTTCGACCAGCAGAACTGCAAGATGAAGTTTGGCTCCTGGACGTATGATAAGGCCAAGATTGATCTGGAGCAGATGGAGCAGACGGTGGACCTGAAGGGGTACTGGGAGAGCGGCGAGTGGGCCATTATCAACGCCACGGGAACCTATAACAGCAAGAAGTACGACTGCTGCGCCGAGATCTACCCCGACGTCACCTACTACTTCGTGATCCGCCGGCTGCCCCTGTTTTACACCATCAACCTCATCATCCCGTGCCTGCTCATCTCCTGCCTCACCGTGCTGGTCTTCTACCTGCCCTCCGAGTGCGGGGAGAAAATCACCCTGTGCATCTCGGTGCTGCTCTCGCTCACCGTCTTCCTGCTGCTCATCACGGAGATCATCCCGTCCACGTCGCTGGTCATCCCGCTCATCGGCGAATACCTGCTCTTCACCATGATCTTCGTCACCCTCTCCATCGTCATCACGGTCTTCGTGCTCAATGTACACCACCGTTCCCCCAGCACCCACAACATGCCCCGCTGGGTGAGGGGGGCCCTGCTAGGCCGGGTGCCCCAGTGGCTGATGATGAATCGACCCCTGCCACCTATGGAGTTCCACGACTCTCCCGGTCTGAAGCTCAACCCTGCTTATCACTGGCTAGAGACCAACATGGATGCCGAAGGAAGGGAGGAGACAGGGGAAGAGGAGGAAGATGAAAATATTTGTACGTGTGCAGGCTTCCCAGACGCTTCCATGGGTATCTTCTATGGCCTTGGCAGCCTGCATCTGAGGGCCCTGGAGCCTGAGTTCAAGGCTCCCTCTCAGGATAGCGAGATCGTGCTGTCCCCGCAGATACAGAAAGCACTAGAAGGTGTACACTACATTGCTGACCATCTGAGGGCTGAGGATGTCGACTCTTCGGTGAGTTGGGTAGAGGGAGGGATTCCCCACTCCCCCATGGGCGATTCTGCCAGCTTAGTAGGGAACAGTCCTGTCCCAGGGCGTCAGTTTCGATAACCCTTTCCTTCCTGTAAGCACCTGTCTTCCCCCGTCATTGTCTGAGGAATCTAGACTCAATCACGAGGGAGACGCACACTAGCCGGAGGTTAGCTGGTCACTTCCTGGCAGATGGCAGAATACCACAGGGCGCATTGCCCTCTGCTCAGCCTAACTGGGAGAGAATGATTAGAGACTGCCCAGCTCAGCTGCTGGTGCCCCTCTGCTTTGACTTTTGCTGATCAGCCTTTCTCAGGAGGAGGGGGTGGGAATGGGACAGGGAGCCAGAGACAGAAACCAAGTACAAATGCATCAACTCAGTGCATGGCTGGCCTCCACACTCTCCTGCCACAGAAGGTCTCCTTCATCTGGGCTCTGAGCAGTTTGTGACCTTACCCTATTCACTCATAAGCCCTGCAGAGTCTCAGCTGAGCCAGGGTGGCTCCCCTCCCCAGTGCTGCCTATAGTACTCAGTGTTCAGAACCTGCTTATGTATGCCCTTACCAACCAAGCGAGGGATGAAAGACCTGAACTTACAATGGGGTGACCTTTTGAGTAGGTGAGAACATTAATTGTTCATTTGCAAATGTCTAAGAATTTAGACCCTCTGGCTTGGCCTATGAGTGGAGGAGCCCCAGAACCCCAGCTCTTCCATGCTGGCCTGCCCTGGGCCACAAACTGCCTCTTCTGTCCCCTGCAGGTGGGTGGAAAGGTGGCACGGGATTTGGCAGCTACGTAACTACTGCGAGTTACATTTAAATTCCTCTGATTTGGAGGATCCATGCCCTCTTGGTGGCCCTGCAACCTCCTTGTGTTCCCTGGACTCCTGTACCTGGGAGCACATGGACATAGGGAAGGACAGAATGGGACTCCCAGGGATGTGTCAGCCCTGAGCTAAGCCTGTTTCTCCCTCCACCCATCTCTCTGCTTGGGATGCCCTCAACTTCTCAAACCTTCAGTAGAGCTGGGGACGGCTGCCTCCATAGGGCTGGGCATGGGGGGGGGGAACACATCCTCTTCCCACAGCCTGGCTTTTCTTACTGTAAGCCCGATTCTAATTTCAGGTAAAGGAAGATTGGAATTACGTGGCCATGGTGATAGACCGGATATTCCTCTGGCTGTTCATTATTGTCTGCTTCCTGGGGACCATCGGGCTCTTCCTCCCTCCATTCTTGGCTGGGATGATTTGATCTCAAGTCCCTCATGTTGGCTCCAAGATGACTTCTGGCCTTCTCTAACTGAAGCCATCTCTAGAATGTTCTTTTGGGTCAATACCATCTGTCTGCAGAGTTTCTCTGAGGCCCCCAAACTAGTCTAGTCTTTACACCCTCTTTGGAACAGCTCACAATGATATTGTTGTGCCAAGTGCTGAGACCCCTCTACATGACACCTGCTTAGGGATGCTGGGGACCCAGAAATGGTGAAGACATTTGCTCTGCAGAAGCTGACAATGTGGTGGTGACATGAGGAAGAATAAGATATTCCTGAAAGAGGAGTAGGAGCCATATATGACCAAAGGATCAAACAAAGGGACGGAGGGGTCAGACCAGGGCAAAGGGAATTAGAACACCGCCCCAAGGATGGGCACATGGGGACAAAGGGCCTGGTGCAGGAGAGCTCTGAACAGCACTTTGGATTCAGAGTGTCAGGTCGGACAAGCAGGGTGGGGAGTCTGGGAAGGCAGGGTGGGTATCTTTAATCCAGACCTAGGAAGAAGTTTGGGGTCTTCTCTGAACCCGTCTCTGTGTGCTTTGTGAGGCAAATATCAACAGGACAAGACTATTTCCAGAAGGAGTGAGGCACAGAAGTCCCCAACCTAAGGGTCTTGACCCCTTTTGCATATTAGATATCCTACATAGCAGGTATTTGTATTATGATTCCTCACAGTAGCAAAATTATAGTTATGAAGTAGCAATGACATGATTTTATGATGGGGGGGTCACCACAACATAAGGAGTTAACTGTATTAAGGGTCACAGCACCGGGAAGGTTGAGAACCACTGGTCTAGAGGTCCTGGTGGAGGCTTGCAGCAAAGGAATGGCATGTGGCTGGCTGGAAGTGGCTGGGCTCTGATTCATTTGAAAGCACCTTTGAACCCCAGGTTGCCCTCAGCATCATGTCTCATGATTCTGTGCCACAAAGAGGACTAGTAATTGCTGCCAGGGATCAGGGCTACCTTCAACTCATTAGTGGGCACACTAAGAAGTCAATCTCTACTGGGGGTACCCCTCTTGTCACCCAAAGGCCCTGGTCTCCAATTCCCTGCTCTGTCAGCATGACTTGCATAGAAACTGAAGGTTTGCTTCAAGCTCTTTAGATTACATACTCCTTTCGGGCAGAACCTCTGCTTTTGTTTTCTCTCCAACCACGCTGGGTGACGGAACTCAGCACCTGGACCATTCGTTCTGAGCAGTGGAAAGAAACGAGCCTGGTTGCTCTGGGCCCCAGAACCACTGGATAACATCCAATGTTCAAGGTCGTTTCTTCCCCCAAGCAACCGTTCCTCAGTCCCATCAGGTGGCTAGCCTGCTCTGAATTGTTCTGCACAGTGTATTCTTGCACTTGGAATATCACAAGGCCCTCCACTGCACAGGAGCCCAGGGGATCGGGCCTCTCACAACACTGTCCAGTCCCTGAGGAGTCAGACCTCAGAAGGTCACAGCAATGACATCCCTGATTGCTAATAGATATAGAGACCAAGGCAGGAAGCAGAGTAGGGCAAGCTTCTGGTGTGTCTGTCTCAGGGTGTTCTCCTTCTGAACCCCACACACTGTGCATTGATAGACCCAAGGGAAACCTGCTCACCAAAGGCCTCACTGGGACGCTCCGCTATCAGTTCCCATGAGCCCCTAATCAGTCATTAATTCAGTTCTTGGCTCTTCCTTCCTCCAGTGAAGGCAGCCTGTGGCCTCCCCTCCACCTGTTCTAAGCCCTCGGATGTGATTTCCTCATGGGGATGCTTTGTTGCATGCATGCTCCCATCCTCCTTGCACGCGAGTGAAATGCTGAAATAAAGCTGAGACGGTTGCTCTCAAAGCCGTCATGCCTTCCTGCCACCTCAGCTGTCACTGGCATCATCTAGTCCCCTCAGAGTCTAGGTGGTTTGGGGACAGTCTCAGGGGAGAAGTGTCCCACAGAGGGAACTACATGGTGTCTTCCTGGAAAGCTTCCTTTTGGATGAGGTGCCACGACAGCCTACGTGGAGCAAAGGGCAGGAGGCCACCTCCCACTTCTCATGGGCTGTGGTTCCAGGTCAGCTTCCTCCTACAAAGAGCAGACCCAATAAACAACACAGTCAAGCTAACCACAAAGCAAATGGCAATGATTTTAATTCAACCACAGATCAAAAAGAAGGGGGGTAAAGGAATGTTCCCCACAAACGTACGAGGAAGGAAAGGAGTGGGTGTGAAAAGGGACGAGAGAAAAAGAGGAGTAAGAAAAGAGGGGAGAAGAAAAGAGGGAGAAGAGGAAAGCAGGAAGGGCTCAAAGTCCCGTTCTGACCTCCGACTCTCTGCTTCTTCCCTGAGGCGCTGGGTTTGATAAAAACACAGAGCCCTGTGGCCAGAATGGTTTGTTCCTGGATGAAGGCCCACGGCTGTCCGTCCAGGCCAAACTCACATTAAATAAATTCCAATGTACACTGTACAAGAGAGCCAAGCCCAGCCCTCATCTCACCAGCCTCTCTACAATAAAGCCCCTCTTTGTCCCCTCTGCATCAGGGGTCCCCTGAGGGATAAAGAGGAAGAGGAATACTGGCTCTCAAATGTCCATGCAGAAAGCCATCATGGCTGGTAGGGGTACAACTGTGACCCCAATGGTACGCCAGCACCCAGGCTGGGGTAGTAGGGAGTGTCTGGCAGTAGTACCCCTATGAACTATGTCACCCCACCCTGTGTCTGTGCCCAGAGTCTTCTCTGTCCAGGTGCAGCCGGCGTAGCACAGTCTAGGGTAGGTGGGGGAAGGGGGACTCGTGCAAAATGGTGAGGGGAGGACTCTTCTCAGCCTTTCCTAGAGGACCAAAGGCAAGGCAAGGAAGGTACGCCATGACAGGTTGGGACAGAAGGTGCAGGCAGGCGGCCCCTCCCTCGATCACTCCGCGGGTGGATGGGCCAGGTTGGCCAGAACCTTGGCTTGGTCCACGGCATCTAGCAGGTTCTTGGCATCCACAGCCAGGGTGTGGGAAGCTGTGAGCATCTGGCGCTTACAGTCCTCGCTCAGGGATGTCACAGCATTCTGCTGAGCCAACCTCATCTTGTTGATGAGCTCTGCCAGGTCTTTGTTGAGCAGCTTCTGGGTCCCTTCGATCTGGCAGGCAAGCAGACAGGACAGGTTGAATGAGGGATGGGTTGGAAAGGCTAAGGCATCAGAAGCTCCCTGGGAGCCAGTTACTCCCCAACCTGGGCTGAATTCACCTTTCTGCATAGGCTAGAGTTGGTCTAGAAAGATCAATGCAGCAGACGCCCCAGACCCGAGCCAACCATGCGCCAGCCATGCCTGACTGAACAGGGGAGTGCCCTCCATTACAGCAGCAATCCCTGCATGCTGGGCAGAGGTCAAACACATTCACCTACTTTGATGGATCATCTTCATTATCAAACTGATGGCATTTAGAGTGACCATGGAAGCAAACCACAGGGCGCATGGTGAGGGAGCTTCTAGATAGAAGTGAGAGCCTCCCCGATAGGGAAGACCTCCACCCCCCCCCCCCCGCCCAATGTGGTGGCGCCATACCATGGGCTGAGGTCTGGAAATGAATAGACTGGAGAAAGTGAGTTGAGCACCAGCGTTTACCATTCTGCATTCCCGACTTAACTGTGATGTGAGCAGCCACCTCACACTGCGCCCACCGTACCTTCTCTACCACATCAAGCCAGATAAACCTTTCCTTTCTCTGGGCATTTTCCTGGAGTATTTTAACTGACACACTATGCTTTGACTGTCTGTTGTCAAGGTGAGAGACCAGATCCCATGTCTATTTACTTAACCATTGCATCGCTCGTGCTTAGCATGACGAACACACAGCACTATCGTTGTAAGCTATCTCTCTCATGAAATGAGTAAATACATTGGTCATGGCACACCCTCCCAGCAGACCTGCACTGGGAAATTCACCCGGTGAGCTGTCCAGGTTCTCAGGAGCCATCTCAGTCCTCTGGTAGCACCTGCCCTGCTGGGACTCCTTCGTAGGCCACTGTTGCCACCCAGAGGATAGCCAGCCCTGCCCTTGTTCTGGTTTGCCTTAGGCAACCACAGGCAGTAGAGATCACACGATAGGATGGACCACATAGATGACCACTAGAAGTCAAGGCACCTATGCACTGCATTTGTCTAGACAAGGAACTGATCCGGTTCCCATGGCTACAGGAAGACAGCTGTGAAAACTTTGTGTGTTCATTCTCAAACAGTCCTGGAGGTCAGAATCCTGACATGGGTCCCGTGGCGGGCCATCAACAGAGCTACGCTCCTATTAGAGAGTCCAGGAGAGACTTCCTTGCTTTTTGCAGCTCCAAGGTTACACCTTCCTTAGCCATGGCCTCTTTCCAGCACAGGCATCCCTCTGACTTCAGCTGCTGCCCTCCCATTCCCTCAACTCTGACCCCCTCCCCATGGATACTCCATCATATCCTCTCCTTCTGAGAACCCTTAATTTTACCAGCTCAGTAAAGTTCCTTTTGCCATGTCAGATACTCTGTGTGTGGGTCCCATTTTTGGGACATTACTCTGCCTGCCACAGGCATCCTTCCGTCACAGAACCAGGACTTGCCCTTGACTTTAGCAGTAATTTGATATCTATGATATATATGCCTTAAGCTAAGTGCAGAGGGTTGCTAGGTAAGGGATGGTGGTGGAGGAGAGAGGAAGGAGTGCTCCTCCACGCATCTACCCACTGAGACTATTTGAGACCTATACAGGGGTTCTCGCTGGGAACCAGAGCAGGTTCAGTTTGCTGGTGCTAACCGCTCTGACACTCTGCAGAGGCAACTGTTGGGAGAAACGAGGCTTCCCAGGGGGCCACAGTAAGGCTCTGGAAGGAATTACAGCCAGGGACAGGAGGTGGCACAGGAGGCATGGCTGGAAACAAGGACACTCACCTCTGTTCTAGATGATGACGGCAAAGAGGGCAAAAGATCGTCCACACTACCGATGAGTTTCCGCAGGTTCAGTCCCACATTCTAAGAGAGCAAGAGAAGGGCAACTGTTCACTTGCCCTTTGAAAAAGCTTCTCCCCCGCACCCTAGGACTGCACTTGGGCATCTGTCCTCTGAGACTGCCTAGGACTGGACTCCCTAGGGGTTCCCTTGTTCCTCTGGGGTCTGTGGGACCGGCCAATGGGTGGAGCATAGGAGATTTCCTTCCAGGGCCAGGGTGGGCATCCCTACCTCCCTGACCCGCCCCCACCCTGTCAGTCACCTTGACCACCAGCACATAGTCCTCAGGGGGCAGCTGGCTGAGCCTGTTCTTGAGGTCCAGCACGGCCTCCACCAGTGTCATGACATTGTGGTACACGGCGTCGTCGGTCCTGTCCAGGTTGGCTGTGGGCTGAATGGACTGAAAGGGAGGGATGGATGGCCAGCGGCCCATGGGGAGCCAGAAGGGTCCCCTATCATTATAATTCATTCCTGGGAATGCACAGATATCAACCCGTGTAAAGACCCCTGCTTTGCAACAAGCACTCTGTCCCAGGGGTAGAGCCCCCCTTTCTGCCTCTGGGATCATCGTTCTTCAACTGGGGAAGCCAAACAAAATGTTGGTGTGTTAATAAGACACAAAGTCACACCAGCTTGGTCTAAACATCGTCTGGTCTTTGGGTCCACACTGTCTTAACATTTCTCAGATGATTTTTCCAGTGGATAGTAGGATGCTGGAATCTGGGGGAGAGCTCAGGAAGAGAAGAGGCCCTGATACTCCTGAGAGCAGACTGGACCAATGAGACCTTTTCCCTGGTCAGGGAAGAGACCAGGTGCTAAAAAACTGGTCCCCTTTCCCCATTTTGTCATGAATTAGCTCCGAGGCCTTAGGCGAGGTGCATCTGCTCTCTGGGACTTATCTCTGCAACAATGACACTGGACTGGATTATCTCCAAGAGCCTCTGAGCATCTCAGGTCTATGGTTTTGGGCAGTCGTAACCCCAATACGTACCTGTGCACCGAGCCGTGGTGGCTTCTGTGGGGGCCCTGTGAACTCCACTACAATAGGAAGGACAGGGAGTAAGTGAAGGTCTCAGTACCTGGTCTTTCTTTTTTCTACTTTCTTATAATCAAGCCAACCGCCCTTCTCTACCATCAAGAGATCCCAAGAGTATAAAACCCAAACTCCAGGAAGATGACCAAGGAAACAGCGTCCCAGGCCTTCCTGACTTCCCAGTAGCTTGGGACAAGATCTGTCTATGGCATAGAAAGAAAAAGTCAAGGCAGGGAATAATGAATGCAGTGAGTATGGGAGACTCCAAGGCTTGATGTGCTCTCTCCAAGATGGGCAAGAAGCCCACAGCCTGCAGGCGGCAGCCTGTGCGGTCCACCCCGGCGCAGTGATTTAAAACTGTGATGGCGTGTCGTCCTATTGACTCTCCTCTGAGGAGAAATGGCACATACAACCTGGGGGAGCTCTTGTGACAGGGAGCCAAGATGCAAGCCAGTAATCTTGCTTCTGATCGAACCACCACACAGGGGCTCATTCATCCAAGGCAGCCGCTTACACCCCCTAGTCTTAATTTTCATCTGGAGAAGGAGCTCGTTGGCTCCGAAAGGACCTTTGAACCCAGAACATCTGATCTCAAATCCAAGCTGAGTTAATTAGTAAGTAGTCAGGTGCTATTAGACAGGTGGCTTCATGGTCGCAAGCCTCTGATTCATCTGTGACAGAAAGAGAGACTGCACCGGCCCCATAGTGTTGGTAGAATACGAAGCAGGTTAACATTTGTGAGTGACTTAGGGTTGTGCTAAGTTCTTTGTGACTATTAGCAGCAGCAGCAGCAACAGCACCACTCTGCCCCTCCTTGCCTTCACTAGAAGCTTCTGGAAAGGTCTTAGTGACTCTGAATCTTCCATCCCTCTGGCCTGGAGAAGACCAGGGTCTGGGAAGGTAAGTCTAGACCTAACAAAGGGCTCCCCATAGGCTGAGTGAAAAACAGAAATGGGGAGGGCGTTCCAGGCTCAGTTAAGAAATGAAGATGGGAGGAGAAAGGAAAGGGAGACCAAAGGAGCTGCCGACTAGAAGGCAGAGGTGGATGGAGAGTGAGGGGCT